ATTGGTTTGTACTATTAGATTTAATCAGAATAATTTCCAATGATTATTGAATTGAATGCTTACGTACGTAATATTAAATTCAATGTTATTTTATGTCAATAATCTAAGTTTGTAGTGACGGCTATCCCATTAAAATTATTAACTTTGACAATAAGTTGCAGGGCACTCTAGGAAATTCAAAGTAGGTTATGGTGTACTATAAATAATTATCGTTATTTAATTTTTTTTTCTAAAAATAGGTAATAATTTTATAATTTATCTAAACTTAAATTGTTTGAATTTTTAAAAACAACATTTTACTGTAATATACAAAAATAACTATTAATCAGTACATTATTTTGTGGATGTGACTCGTGCTGAGTTTTTTTTTTTTAAATTTAACTATAGTTATTATTAATTGTTGATCTTCTACAGGACTACCAAACTAATACAATACTAAAAATAATTTATTATAATAATTAATAGCATATCAATATCCTTAGAAATGTTCACTCTCGTGCAGGTTATAATTCATTGCATAGTGATATACAGTGAACCAATCAATCATCATCTTAAAATTTAATAAACTCTAAACCTACTTTGAATACAGTAGAGCTAATTTTCTAGTTATATTTTTTCTAACCAAGAATTATTGTGAGTTGAGAATTTTAGACTAGAGCCGTTTTCGATGCGTAGTTTGACCTTATGGCCGGGTAAGCCACATACCTGGTCGACATACATCCCTCTCCCCTTTTTAGCGCACACATTGTTTTTTTCTTTTCGTCCTGTCTCTCTCTCTTTCTCTCTCTTACTTACCCTTCGAACGCGTGTGTGAAACCTCATCGGTATTTTACGACCCAGTGAAAAAGGTTTAAAATAAAATACCGTTACCGAGCGAAAACTCGTTTCGGGTTAAGCCGTAGATTTTCCATTTACCTCTATCGGCGGAGATAATTGTTTTTCCCCAGCCCGATCGTTTGCGCGTACCCGGGTCTGAAATTTATGGACTCGCAAAGTGTGGCGTCGAAAACCTTACAAAAGTAAAAGAAGAAATATATATATTATTATATATATCTATACACTCGGCTGTACCTAACTTTAGCCAAACAGGTGTGATAGCACACCGCGAACTCAAAGGTGCTCTATGCTACCAACGTTGCTTCGACAAGATTCACATTTATCATCACCCAAACAATGTGTAAGCGTGTATGTGTATGTGTGTATTTTAAATGGTGCGTGTTTTTATTCCGCCTTTACGATGTTCACATCACTCGAGTTTGAGCCATCAGTCCATCTTTACCCTGGTTCGTTTTAGACGGTTATTTATTTTTTCCCCGTCTCTGTTATCGCAATATTTGTTGCTACCACCCATCAAAAAAAATTGGCTCTGCCACGGATATGCCGGTGCGTGTTTTTCCGAATTAATAATATGCAACGTTTGATATATTTCTCTGAATAGTATAGTAAAAAAAATTTACGATTTCAGTAGTGTTTTCATTGGATTCTTTATTAATTAAAATCACATATGTAAAGGTTCGCTTGTTYTTTCAAATTATATGACGTGAATAATTTAACAAATGCAATATTGTATTGTAACATCTGTGATATACATATATCATGTATGTATATTTTGTAGGTGAGTTAATATAACACTACTCACAGTTCAATATGTACATAATACAGATATATTCATCCCATCGGAACTCACACACATAGCTCAATCCTACCC